GCCCGGTTTATTAAAAACAAAAAAAAACAAAAAAAAGCAAAAACAAAAAAACTAATCAAAAAAGAAAAGTTTGAACTTTGCAAAAAATTTGAGAAAAAGAAAAAATTAATTGCTTGCAAGTTCAGTAGGCCTCCCAATTTCCCCTGAAGTGCGAAATTACCAATGAGAAAAAAATTTGAAATTTTCAGACCGCAAATGATTATCCGATAAAAGAATTCCGAAAATAAAGTACAAGAAAAATTTCGGAATTACTGAGATGAGAGTACGCGCAGTTTGGAGAATGATAACTGCAAGAGGGATTTCCCGTACCGTTTTCAAAAAAACGAATTTCGGAAAAAAAAATCAAAATTTTCAAATAACGGGAAATTGCAAAAGGAAATCGAAATTTTCGAGAAAAAGATATTCCGGATTTCCAACAACGAAATTTCGAATTTTCAGAAGAAAAATGAAAACAGAAATTTCAGGTGTTGCGCTATTGCGATTTTCCACAATACAAACAGCGGAAAAAAAAATCCAAGAAAAGAAAAAAATTTTGATTTTCGGCAGTGAGGTCACAATCGTGATTTTGGGGGCTAACTAGTGTGCTCTGATCAATCAATCAAAACTAATCAGCTACCTAGTCCCCGCACATGTGTCAGATCAGATTGTCCTGATTCACGTGCGGTGCTCTGATACCAACTGTTACATGCCCAGTTGGGCGATGTACATATATAACCAAGGATCCGCAATGTAATAAAAAGGACTGAATGGACAATGCAGTGCAAGTAGAATCTCAACAAGCAGTGTGCATTCCGATACATACAAGAATGGTGCTTTATAGCGCAGTGGAAGACTTATATACAAGTCCTGACCTGACGGGGACTGACCTCTCTCACGTAGTGCAAGACAGCGCAGCAGAATGCTAGGAAACCAATGACTAGCCCAATCAATGTCGCCTAACAGACCAAACATACATCATCCACATCACGAGGTGTGAAGGGGCCTGGCGCTACACACAGGAAGAGTGCTCCAGGTCCAGATTATACACAGACGAAGAGGAGGGGATCAGACGAAGAGGAAGAGGGAGATGGGAATGTTGTCAACACCAAGTATTCGTTACAAGTCCCAAATAGTCCCTCGTCAAAATGTCTGAAGCCCAATGCCGAGTCTGGATCCAATGTCACCAAGCTCTCTCTCTCTCTCTCTCTCTCTCTCTCTCTCTCTCT